ATTGAACAGAGCTATTCAAGAGATACTAGAACAATCCTCCTTTATAGCAGTTTGCAAAGAGATCTTTTATAGTGGTGGCATTGCATGGTCACAGTATTCATAGTATTCCTTTTGCAGAAGTTCATCAAGCTTGTTTGCTCCATTAACAATGAAAGGAATTGTATATTTCCCAAGCCTGTGCACTTCTACATCTCTCAAGAACACTAGGACTGTACACGTTGGCTTGGCAGTCACAGAGAACACTGGGTAACTACTCAATAAATCAAAAGAAAATAATATTTGAATTGCAGGCCAGTTTGTTTCATCTTTAAATTTGACGTTTCCTTTTGTTCACTGACATGAACTTCTCTCTTTCTTGTACTGGTCTTCATGAGCAACTCTGTAAGCAAAGCTTTCCTTTGGGTTGTTTCTGCTTTTCTTTCTCTCCTTGAGCCAGGTGTTGGGTTTGAGCGCTTGCGTGTTGATGAGTGAGACGGACAGGAAGAATGCTTGGAACAGCGGCAGGTTGGAACGGACTTCTTCATTGACGCGGTCACTCTCCCATTTTTTTTTTTTTTTTTTTTTTTTTTTTTTTTTGTCCTCTGCCAAGTGCAGTTTACACACCTGCAATACGTGTTTAGTATTAATTTACATACATTGATACATATCTACATAGATAGATAGGTATACAGATTTGTTTTGTGACCGAACGTTTAAAATATTAGAATGCAGTATAAGCCTACAGCAAATTAAATTAAACAGATCTGCATTTGAAAACTTTTGAATGAAATCAGCGTTTTATCTGTTGTAAAGGATCTTATGTTGAATTGGAAACTATTTTCTTTATTGTCATGTTCATTTTTAGTCCATATCAGTTTTGAGAATGTACAATAAATTTGTGAATACCTGAGGTTTAGACATTTATTTTATGAAAAGATTTGTTTAGCAAAATGGGCTTACTTCAGCTACAAATAATGAAAATACTTTATTACACCCTGTTAACTACCTACAGCAGCATTCTCCAACCCTGGGGTCGCCAGGACCTCAAGATATCAAATGTGGTCACCTCAATTTTGAGATGTTTTCAGTATATACGTAATCATTTATATGTGCATATATCATATGATATAAATATAATGATGTAATATAACAATATAATACACTAGAACATACTAGGGTCGCGGTCATGCTTAGAGGTGCAGGATTGGGGTTCGTCTGAAAAAGGTTTGGGAACCACTGGCCTATAATATACGATGCACCACAGATAGTGCTGCTTTTATTTGTTTGTGCTGGTAAACTCATCTCCACTAGGAAAGTAGGAAAAGTCGGGTCGACCCATTTCGTCCATTATTATGATCGAATTCTGAAAACGATGGACTTGCCAATGTTATTGCAAAGAAGGTGAGAGATTTATGAAGCCATGTTATTGCAATTTGACATTTTATTACTAAATCAAACAAATGGTTTGCATTCTTATAAATCCTGAGCATATGGTTTCCAATCAAGGCACTAACAAACGAGTCTGCTTCTAAAGACGTGTGGAGAAAATTTTTTGTTATCCCTTTGATTTCCCTGTCACTTGCTGACAAGCACTTCGTCTTTCGGGAAGAACACACACTTTTGGCCCCATTTTCTTTAGTTCCAATTGCCGTATCGTATGCAGCACACACGCGGCATTTTTTCTGGAGACACTTTCAGAGGCCTGACTCGCTCCGCCATGAGTCTGAATGCGCGCGCGTCGTGATGTAACGGCGTCGTCGGACTTCGAACGCGATGCCTCTTCCGGTGGCCATTCTCATGCCCCCCCCCAACAATATCCATACTAGTTTTAGTTGTAGTAGTAGTGCTGGTATTATCAACATCATTATTATAATTATTATTTTGTTATTGTTATTATTATCATTATTATTATTACTGCCATCATTATTATCATTATTATTATAATCATTATTATTGTTTTGTGTAATTATTATTGTTATTATTGCCATTATTATTGTTGTTATTGTTATTGTTCTTCTTCTTCTTCTTATTATTATTATTATTATTATTATTATTATTATTATCGTTATTGTTATTATTAGTAGTAGTATTTTTGCTGTTATTGTTATCATTAGTAATAATAGTAATAGTAGTAGTACTAGTATTGTTATTGTTATTATTATCATTATCATCATCATTATTATTATTTCCACAATTATTTCTACTATTATCATTATTTCATATGATTTTTATTTTATTAATATCATTAGTGTTGTTGTTGTTATTACTATCCTTGTTATTATCATTATGATTGTTGTTATTGTTACCTATATCATTATAATTTTTTTTCATCATTTTTCGAAATCCTGATTTTGCAGTACCAACTGTTACCATAGTCTTGCAGAGGATGCGACACATTTCATTCATTGTTGCTCATAGTAAAGATAGCATTAAGTAGGAGACGAAAGGAGAAGCAATGGCGCCATTTACCCCGCAGCAGAAGGGCCCTGCCCGCGGACTTGGGACTGCGACACATTTCATT